GACAATTTCACCTTCCTCTCATCCAATGGGAAGGCCTTTTATTTCTTTCCTTTGCCTGATTGCTCTGGCTAAGACTTCTACTCCTATGTTAAATAGGAGTGGTGGATGTCTTGTTCTAGTTCTTAGGGGAAAGCCTTTCAACTTTCCCCTGTTCAGCATGACGTTAGCTGTGGGCTTTTTGTATGTAGCCTGTGTTATTTTGAGGTATATGCCCTCTATACTTAGTTTGTTGAGTGTTTGAATCCTGGAAGGATGTTGAATTTTATCAAATGCTTTTTCTGCATCAATTGAGATTATTTGTTTTTTTCCTATATTTTGTTGATGTGCTATATTAAATTTATTGATTTGTATATGTCTAATCATCCTTGCATCCATGGTATAAATCACAACTGATCATGGTATATTATGTTTTAGATGTGCTATTGGATTTGGTTTGCTAGTTATTTTGTTGAAGATTTTTATTTTTTTAAAATTATTTTATTTTTTAAGTCTACTCGTAAGTTTCAGAGTTGAAGATTTTTGCATCTGTGTTCCTCAGAAGTATGGGCCTGTAGTTTTCTTTTGTGTGTGTGTTTGTCCTTAACTGGTTTTAGTATCAGGGTAATGCTGGCCTCTTGCAGTGAGTTAGGGAGAATTCTTTTCTCCCCCTTACATTGTGATTATCACAGATTACGTTTTTATACATTGTTTGGCCATTAACATAGATTTACAATTTTTTTCTCCTGTTTTTAAAACCAAGATTTACAATTTTCATTGTTCTCTTAGTTTTCTTGAGTTCTCTAAACACATTGAAGACAGTTGATTTAAAGTCATGGCCTAGTAATTTCACTAGTCATTCAACAAGATAAGTTTCTGTTAACTTCTTTTTTTTTTTCTATGACTGGGCCATATTTTCTTGTTTCTTTGCATGCTTAGTTTTTTGTTATTGTCATTAAATACTATACATTTTGAGTATTATGATTGGCAAAAATGAAAAAAAAAAAGAAAAAATATATCATCTCCAGGTCTATGTATTTTGTTTCCATATTGGGACACTACTTCAGTGCTTAGCCCGGTCTTTTACAATGCTGCCTTAGTCTCATCCTTAGCCTAGAGATTAGCCAGAGGTTGAAATCATGCTCCCCTCAGATCTCTTCTAAGCATGCATTCTGCCCTGAGCATTCATGTGGCTTCCTAGTTCCCTGATATACCCAAGCACTTTTTCCAAGACTTTATTCCCCACCTTTTCTTCCCTTGGCTTTCGGCATATCTGTTTTTTGTCTCAAGGTTCTTTTGCCCTTCACAGCAGTGACTTGTTAATTTGCCTTTTAGTATTTTTGAAGAACATCCCCTATGTCGTTAGGTCTTTATTGTGAAGCAGCATTGTTGTCTGGGGTAATATCCAAGGTTTGTTGTCCCACGGCCACACCAGTATGAGGTTAAGAGTGGACGTTTAATAGGGGGAAGAAGGAGAAGCGCCGCTCTCTGCACAGAGACGGGTCCCAGAGAAAATGGGTTGGCTTCCACAGTCAAATGCAGGTTTTACAGATGACTTTGAGGAGGCAATGTCTGATTTACATAGGGTATGAAAGATTGGTGGGACCAGGTGTGTCATTTGCATTGAATGTGAAGAAGCTGGCTTCCCCACCCTAATCTTTTATTATGCAGATAGCTTCTCTACTGGGACAGGCCAATAGCAAAGAAATATAATATATATATATATAACATATATGTTATATATGTATGTTACATACATAATATATTTTTTCAGATGGAGTTTCACTCTTGTTGCCCAGGCTGGAGTGTAATGGTGTGATCTTGGCTCACTGCAACCTACGCCTCCCAGGTTCAAGCGATTCTCCTGCCTCAGCCTCCCAAGTAGCTGGGATTACAGGCATGCGCCACTACACCCAGCTAATTTTGTATTTTTTGTAGAGACGGGGTTTCTCCATGTTGGTCAGGTTGGTCTCAAACTCCTGACCTCAGGTGATCTGTCTGCCTTGGCCTCCCAAAGTGCTGGATTACAGGCATGAGCCACTGTGGTCAGCTGTTGCCTGTTTTTTTACTGTACACGTGGTGACAAAGAAAAGGGAAAATGTGGGCTGGGCACAGTGGCTCATGCCTGTAATCCCAGCAGTTTGGGAGGTTGAGGTGGGCAGATCATTTGAGGTTAGAAGTTCGAGACCAGCCTGGCCAACATGGTGAAACCCATCTCTCCTAAAAATACACAAAAAATTTAGCTGGGGATCATGGCATACTTTTTCCTAGCTACTTTGGAGGCTGGGGCGGGAGAATCACTTGAACGCAGGAAGTGGAGGTTGTGGTGAACCAAGATCGTGCCACTGCACTCCAACCTGGGCAACAGCGTAAGACTTCGTCTCAAAAAAAAAGGAGAAAGAAAGAAAAGAGAAGATGGATCCTCCATGTTTAACATACTTGGCTTCCAGGTGGTAGCCATTTTCTCTTGGCACAGCTGCTGGCATTTACCTGTGCAAGCTTCCATCTTTTGTTTGCAGCTCTATTTTTCAGGCTGCTCTCTGTTAGAAAATAAATTATTTTGGGGCGGCTCTTTATTAAAAGGGAAGCCTTGCTAAGGTCTTCTTTACCCTCACTATCTGCCTAAATAATTTCTTTCTTGCTCCTGTATCAATTGCAAGAAAGTTCTGACTTAGCTGAAACAAAGTGAGGCCGCTTGAGTCAAAAGAATTCCTTGGAAATGAGGTCTCTTTTACTTGGAAACCAAGTCAAGACAAGACAAACAATTTCTTGGGAACAAGATCCTTTTCATGTTGTTAGGATTGGGTTCTCACACTAGTAAAGTGGCATGCTATCTTTAAGAGTGTTACTGTGGCCAGGTAGGGAATGTGGCAAGGGTATGTTAAAATACCCCAAAACTCTCTTACCCTGTTTCAGTTGCCCTTTTCCTGGTTGTTTTCTGAGTCATAAGCTTTTTACTGTCTTCCCAAATTCCAGTAAAAGTGATTCTGACAGCTATGCAGTAGTTTTCACTGTTTCTGAGACAGGATGACCCCTAGCCCTTCCTATTTTGCCATTTTTCCTTTTGTTCTTATTGATGCATTCCTAATTCAAAAGCACACCCTAGCTCACTTTATAGTCTGTAGTTATTGTGGTCTCCCTTACTCATGTACTACCCTAAGGCCAGCGTGAATTCTGGAAATTATTCTACACTATAATTCAGTTCTCAGTATTTTTTTCTGTGTAGATTCTAGTTCGTCTTATGTCTGGGTTATTTAGGACTTCATAAACCGATATAAAAGATTCTCTTCTGAAGACTCCTCCTCTGATTCTTCCTTATATCTTCTTGGGATCACTTAAGTGCAGAGTGTGGAAAGTTAACAGAGCATCCCACTGTGTGTGCAGCTGCCATGCTGGTTCAGAACAGGAATGACATCCTTTCTTTGCTTATGTTTGCTTGGTGTCAGGTAAGGTCTCTGCTTTGCCTGCTTTTGCTTACTGTTGGCAGTGATAGTTGACAGCCTTCACACCTCAGCGTCTGTGGCTAAATGTGTCTGATTTGGAGTGAAAGGGGTATAGCTTCTCTTTGGCACTAGGGCTCCCTTCTGCCAGTCCTGTTTCTTCTCATCTTGCATGATCTTCATTGGCCTAGAGGGAACGGTCTTCCTGAGGCCTTTTGGGTTGTTGTTGTTAATGTACCCTTTGGTAATTCTGAGTTGCCTGTTGCTCCTTTGTGCAGACTGGGATATACAGGAGGCAAAAATAAATCCCAAGGAATTCATTTCCAGGTCCTCCCTTGATTCCTGAAGACTCTACCTGTTCTGCTTTCTTTCCATATTTCAGAGTTTCTGATGTTTGCTTTATGTGTTATGTCCATGGTTTTAAATTGTATTTAATGGAAGCATTGGGGTGGAATATGCTTACTCTATCATGACTAGTACAAGAACTCAACTCCCACAATCATTTGCCAAATGAATGATTAAATGATAGATGGTTCTTGCCTTCAAGTTACTTGTGTTTGTGGCTTACATTATTAAAATAGGTGTAGTATTAAGAGAATTAAGACTCATTCCTGTGAGAGCTCTCAGGCAAAGGAATGCGATTATTTCTAGCTGTTAGGGAATGGTATATGTGGTGTGGTGGTGTGGTGATTGTTCTGACAATGGTTCTGTGTCACCAACTGGATGTCCTGCAGCTCAGTTCAATTCTCAAACTAACAGACCCCACAGGTTATAGGCAGAGGCCTCTACCAAGAGTGTCTCCACTTCACACACCAGCTGCAAGTGTCAAGGTCCACCTGCAGTTATGACCAACTGGTTATAAATTCTGGAGTTCCCACAAATCTCTCAGGTTTAATAATTTGCTAGAACTACTCACAGAACTTACTGAAAACACTACATTTATAATTACCATTTTATTTTGAAGGATACAACCCCGACACAGCTAAATGGAAGTAATGCATAGATGAAGGTTTGGGTGCTGGGGAGACAGAGATTCTTTGTGGAATCCAGGCACGTTATCCTCCCAGCACCTCAGTGTATTCACCAACCAGGAAGCTCTGCTATGTTCCTGGTTAGCCCTCTAATGATGTGTTTGGTTTTCCTGGTGAACAGCCCCCAATCTGCAATAGGTAGGAGCCACTATGAGACATCTCATTAGCATAAAAAAGACACAGCCATCACCCAGGAAGTTCAAAGGGTTGTAAAGCACCATGCCAGAAGACTTTTGTATTGTCTATTCTTCATTATTCTTTATTATACTACAGTCATCAGATAAGATTTCAGGGAACGTGGCATTTGAGTGATTTGAATAATAGGTAGATTTAAACGTTTGAAAATGGTGGAAAGTGACATTCTAGGCTGAAAAAGTAGAAGTAGCAGTCACACTGGAGGAACACACAGGAGTACAGGAATTGATATGTAGAACTATGTCAAGTAGTTTTTTGTTTTAGTGTAAGATACATGAAAAGGAAAAATAAATAAAGCTAGATTTGTCCTATATCATTTAATGATATTTATTAATCAGAGAATTATTTATTCCTACAGAGCAGAAGAGAGAAAAGATCTGTTCATGTTTTTCCGAAGCCTGCATTTTTTTGTGGAGTGGTTTGAATATCGTAAGCGCACATTTAAACATTTCAAGGTAAAGTCTAAAGTCTTTGAATTTAAACATATATGGAAAGTAAAGCTGATATTAATTGGGGATTCATCCATAACATTCTTTTCTTAAAAGCTTTCAAACAATAGAAAATATTGTCATTGACTTTTGGAATTTGCAATTATTTGGAATAAGTGGAGGAGGATTACTTCTGTATAGATAGGTGAACAGTTTATAGGGTAGAATGTCTTGAAAGAAGTGTGGTTGCATTCAAATTTATTTAAAATGCACGTTGTGAAAAATCATTCTTTTAAGAGTACTTGAAGTAAAACGATAAATGTTAATAAAGAATATTATCACAGCAGGCTTATCATGTAGTGGTAGACTGCTAACTTCCTGAGCCAGACTCTGTGTTTTCAGCTTCTCAATTGTACATTTTGAGTTTAAATACCAAAGCCTGATTCTTGTGAAGTAATGCTTTCTAAAGTCTGATATAGGTACTTTATAATACTTCTTTTTATTTCCTTTCTTTGTTTTCGGGCATAACTGAAATTATGTTTGGTTGCATTGTCATACCTCAAGTCCTACTCATTTGGATAGCATCAAATTAGTGACAGCATTAATCCACACAGAAACCAGTTATGAAAGTCAACTTAAATAATATTTCAAGGTTCATATTCCTTCAAAAGCCTAACCAGGTCATGACTGTTGTTTTTGGGACTTATACTAACTCTCCTTTATTTGGGGTTCTATTGTTTATTATTATTATTTATTCCATTTGGTTGAGCTAATAAAACCTGTCAGGTGTAGGATTTTTTCCAAAAAGAAACCTGGGCAGTTCTGTACTACAGTACCTTGAGGCAGTCTCATGATTTTGTTATATTTTATCACGGGTAGTCTTGTGCCAGAAAAATTAAATATTTCTGCTTCACAAGTGGTAAAATACAATAATGACCGCAGAGTGTGCTGGCAGTTATGGTAATAAATGAATCACCTAATGTTGCCATTTCTTTATGCATTTGAATGGGTGATGGAAAATGAGAGCACTAGTCTGCATTTCCAAAGCTGGTTTGACTCTAGGTGACTTCCAGGCAGTTATGAAAATATAATTTGTGTGTTTTTCCTATGGAGGGTAGAGAGCTCCTAGGAGCTGGTCTTTGCTAGTTATAGCATTACACTAGGATGGAAAAAACCAATCACATTGTTCTGTAAGCATCACCACTCTCCTTCTCCAGAAGTTTTTCCATCATCTAAAACTGAAACATACCCACTAAACATTAACTCCTGATTCCTGCCTTCTCTTAGTGCTTGCTACCACTGTTCTGTTTTCTGTTTCTATGAATTTGACTATTCTAGGTACCTCATATATGTAGAGTGTCCTTTTTGTCTGACTTATTTCACTTAGCATAATGTCCTCAAAATTTATCCATACTGTAGCATGTGTCAGATTTCCCCTTTTTTTTTTTTTGAGACAGGGTCTAACTCTGTTGCCCAGGCTGCAGTGCAGTGGTTCAGTCATGGCTCATGTCAACTTTGTCCCTGGCTCAGGTGATCCTCACACCTTAGCCTCCCAAGTAGCTGGGCCTACAGGCACACACCACCATGTCAGCTAAGTTTTGTATTTTTTGTAGAGTTGCAGTTTTTGCCATGTTGCCCAGGCTGGTCTTGAACTACTGGGCTCAATCAATTCACCTACCTTGGCCTCTCAAGCGCACTGCCCTCCTCCTGCCTTTTTTTGAGGCTGGATCATAATCCATTAAATGTATATACATTTTGTTTATCCATTCATTTGTTGACAGACACTGATTGTTTTTACTTTTGGCTATTTTGAATTATCCTGCTGTGGACATTAGTGTTCTGTTACCTGTTTGCATCCCTCTCAGTTCTTTTAAGTGTAATTGTATATCTGGAAATAGAATTGCTGGGTCATATGGTAATTCTGTGTTTAATTATTTGAGGACCGTCATACTCTTTTCCATAGTGCTTGTACCATTTTATGCCAGCAATGCACAAGTTCTTCAATTTCTCTACAACTATTTTTTTTTTTTTTTGAGACGGAGTTTCACTCATGTTACCCAGGCTGGAGTGCAATGGCGCGATCTCGGCTCACTGCAACCTCCGCCTCCTGGGT